AGCGAACAGTACAACACCTTCGTTAGGGTGTTGCATTCGCGTCTCCAACAAAAGGGCGGCTCGTTCTTTCCGCACAACCGTAGCGAATGTTTTGAGGAATTTGCTCTTAAAGACAGTCCAGTCGGTTAGGGAGCCTTCATGGTTCTCAAACCACGTTCGAGCTGCATCCTCCAAATAGAAGAAGACATGACGAAACGTTTCTTCGTCATCCCACCTGTTAAAGATGCGGATGCGCTCCAGCTTCTCCAGCAACTCTTCCGGGTCTTCACCAGGAGATCCTCGGAATGATGGGGGCTCAGGAGGTTGTTGCAGAACGACGGGAGGGTTGGTAGCGCTGGTCATGGTGCCTGCGTTGATCATCGTGGTTTTTACGTCTTCTTTCCTTTTTTTTATCCGGGAGCAGTCCAAACTCTGGCTGAAGGCCTTGCTGTCGGCGGCTGACACGAGTTGGGCGTGCTTGTCGTGTTGGGCTTGCTTGTCGGCTTAGCAATGGCTTAGGGTTCATGTACCCCGCACCTCCACCAGATGTCACGCAGCAAAGGACGACGCAGTTGTCTATAAGGAAAACAAGTTTATTGGAGCGAACCTGTGCTCCCCTAACAACTGAAAGAATACACAGGCGGCGAAGCAGCGGCCGGCAAAACGACGGGCACGCTAGTGAGCGTCGGCGATCGAATGTCGCGGCATCGGCTGTGCGGGAATTTATATCCCTCGACGCGAGGGTTTCTCGAATAGTCGAATTGCATCGAGAACGCCGTGATAGCGTTTGTTCGAAACGCCGTTCGTTCGGAACGCTCGAAGCGCTGTTCGATAGCGTTTGTTCGAAACGCTGTGAAAACAGTGATAGCACAGGCCGGCGCAGCCAGGCCAAAAAAACAAAACACAAATAAACAAACCCAATGCATTGTTCGCGGCAATACATTACTTCATTTTCTCTGGGTTGGGGGAATGTTAACATTGAAACCTTGGAATTATGCTGTGTGAACGTGACACATTCGTAGGCAGTGAATCACCATTTGCACCTGAAAGGGTTATACCGAAGATTTCAAAAGCGTCTACATTTGGTGCACGTGCATCGTAGCTTATGAAAGCATGTAATTTCACGTTTTTAGCATGTTTATTGCATCCTCTAGATTTAATCAGTGTCTCGGCACCTGCTGCTCACCGAGGTGCAGGAGTGAATATGCAGGCATGCTAAAATTGTTCCAGAACACTGCTGGTTTGAACCTCCGGAGAGGTGACGATTGGAATTTGCATCTAGCTGCCTACTGAATGCAGTGTGGCTTTCATGCAACACTTCAAACTGTGTTCCATCGTAATTGACTACGGGCACACTAAGAAGACTAAAAATATAGCAAACCTGCCAAAAAAGCTTCCAATAGTTATGTCAGCAGTCCATACGACAGCCAGTGCATTGATACTTATATGAGCGCATATGTGCCTGGTTGTTTCGTGAGCAGCCCGAGTACAAATGCCTCTATCACAACATTTATATTAGTGAGGACGCAGATGTATTGTGGCTGCCTTGCTCTGTTTTTTTAATGTCAAAAACTTTACCTTGTTTCAGCCCCGTGTTTCTGTGGTTACTGTGCATTAGTTAGGCAGAACCATTGAGGGCTTAAAATGACACAAAGCCGGGCTGGAAGCTGACCCGATAGCATACATTCACCTCCGAGGAATGAACCTCATGCATCGGGTGTTGTTTCATGCATATTAAAAAGCCCTTTCATTAATATAGCTCGTCCGTTAGTCTGCTTAAGTTCACTGTGACCAATTCACCTTTTCTATCGACAGCTTATGTTGCACTGTTTTCTAGATCCTCTACTAATGTCATTGCAAGCGATTGCTTGTTTATGACAATGTGTACTATAACTTAAGTTGTCTTATCTATATAAAATGTCAAAAGTGTTGCCAGGGGGGACAGTGGTGCCTTATGCTGTGCTATATATAGTTTGTATTTGTGAATATATATGAACGCACAAATATGGGCAGAGATGTCCCACGTATTCACACTGCCCTATTAATTATATCTGTGCAACGCACCTCAGGATCGCCATTATTGGTACATGCCCCCCCCCCCCCTTTTTTTTTAATCACGTGCACACGTTGGCCTCTCCTGCTGCGACAGTTTTGGTGCTGCGAAAGAGCTCTCGCCACTACACTTCAAGTTCACCGTAACCATTCCCTAGAGTATTACTAAGTATATTCTAGGCACTATAGTATTGGGCATCTGGGGAAGACCAGCGGCCGTGAGACGTGCTCGCCACTGCACCAAAAGAAGGAGGAAAGAGGTACCACAACTTATGTGTCTGTCTTGGCCCCTGCATTTTGTGTGCTAGGCCTATGCCTCCTGCCTAGGTGTCAGTTGTGTTTTTTATGTGGTTATGGGGATGGCGTGTGTCCCACAATTTAGCTGGGAGGTCGGTTGCAGTGCAAAAAGCAAAGAAGTACAATAAACTCCCTTTAATATGAATTCTGTTAAGACTAATTCTTGCTTAAGACAAGCAACATGGGATGTTTGTTTTGTTCCCCACAGACTCAAGGAAAAAAAAGTCTGCTTAAAGGGTTCTGAAACACTTGTTCAAGTAACCATGGAATGGATTTCCTACAAGAACTTTTTGCCTTACGAATTCAACGCCACAAAAATTTTAAAAATCTGTCCAGTACGAGCGAAGTTGCAAAGATTTGTCGCACGCTGCACACGCATTCTCTCTTCTCTCGTCCCAACAAAAGCGCTGGAATTTAATCAGCTAGGGATGGCAAGGGCAAAAAAAAATGTCACACGTGCCTCGTGATTATGTCATGACTTTGAGCACAGTTTTTTTTCTTTCTTTTTTTTTCTTCGAATACGCGGCTTATTCAGTTTAATCGCGCATGCACGCGTGGACAAGTCGCGACCTCCCGCGGGGATTCCTGTGACTACCGAGCAGGCCATGTCCAATTCAGCCAATGGCTGATAGATGGACTTGCTACAAGTGACTTTTGAGCATCTTCTGTTATTTGTAGAGAGAAAGGAAAACAATTTTTAGCTGAGTTTGATAATTTATTACCAATTATAGGCCGCGTGCTGTGCTATAATATTTAGCTTGCGTGTAAAATAAGCAAATGTCGGAACCTTAAATAAAACCTTGCAGACTTTCATAAGCCACCTGGCGTATATTGATTGGCTTTGTCAAGGTAAGTGTATGCAATGGGGACGTATGCAAAAGTGATAGCAAAGCCAGTAAAGCAGCCTCTCAGAAGGTAAACAGCCAGAAAAATAAATTTTTCATTCTTCGAACGAAAATTGTGCTTGTCTCTTCATTTTTATTTTTTTCCGATCATCAAAACATGGTCGTGCTACACTTTTATTGTTAAAAAGTTGTTGTAAACTGTTGTTAAAATGTAGTAGCAATTTATTCATAATCATATTTATGATGAACTCATGAAGTCGAGTACTCGTTAGATTAGTGCAAATACTCTACTTGAAATAATAGTTTTCATCAAGCTTTTTAACCAAATAAATGCTTTTTTGTTCTTTTCCTCCCCACTGTAAGCATACTCCATTCAGTGTTTTCAAGCAACACATTTGGATGCACTTGGCATGTTAGTATTGGGTTTTTGAGGGCACTTCTGATAAGACGAACAAATGATCGTGGTGCCTTTGAGTTCGTCTTAAAGATAGTTTACTGTATACTTGCAAGTGTTTCGGGACTCATACACAGCTGAGTTTCCGTGCTTTGTGGCTTGGCAGAAAGGTAACAAGTATAAATTTTCTACTCAACCACGTGTGCCTGTGATGTAAGCATTTTGCTCAGCAGCAAGGTCTTCATAAAGGGTAACTTTGTGCACAAATAAAAACAACATGGTACCAGAAAAGAAAGCACACACCACAACCGAATTCAGTTGCGAGTGAGCGCTTGGGCTGTGTGCTTTCTTTTCTGGTCCCATGTCGTTTATTTGCACTCAATGTTATACCTACCATCTAGCTTACCTAACTATCCTGTTTCCTACTTAAAGGCGCTCATTGCTACACAGCAGTATCAAAACTGTTCTGCGGAAGGCCAGGGCAACATTAGCAGTTTCTTGCAAAGGAGCTGCGAAGACAATGCGATTCGTGCCGAATGCTCATTCACGGGATTTCTTGTGGGACTGTTAGTAATTACGCAGGACCGTTGCTTCCGGAAACTTTCCCGAAGTGTGAGGATACGAAGCGCTACGGAAGTGGACGTACGAAAACAGTTGCAATCATCGGGGAAATGGCTGTAGATGCCGAAAACACAAGGGTGGAGGCTCTTAAATGCTGTACTTTTGCTATGGCAGTGGACAGAAGCAGCGGATGCGCGCTGCAAATTTCTCAGTCTCGATAATTTCTGATATAACCCCCCCCCCCCCCCCTCTAGCTGTGGTCCCCCAAACTTTCAAGCTGCTAGGTTGGCAGGTATGCACATCACCTACTATGTACAGTCGAATCCTTTTATAAGAGACACTGATATGAGAAACAAATGGGTATAAGAGAGACCAGTGTGCCCTACAGTAAAATATGGGTTGATAAGAAAATGCATAACAGGTGCCTTGCTTATAAGAAATATCTCATATAAAAGACAAGAACTGTTTTGCCTGGAGCATGCCTCTTACAAAGAGGTTCAACTGCATATCTCGCACTTTATATGGACACTTGCTTTGTTATATGGTATAGTAGACTCTCAGTAAACAGAAATCTGTTAAACAGGACTGCTGCCTAAACAGAATAACTGCCTCCGATATGATTGGTTTCGTACTTGTATACTGCACTCTGTCTCAGTCAACGAACTCCTGTTAAAGGAAACGTATTTTCCAGGTATCTTCAGGTTCTGTTTAAAGAGAATCTACTGTTTTATTTCTTGCATGCTCGATGACAAGTTGCGATAGCTTGGCGATAATCTTCTTCAGTATTTTGTATTGATCCTCTCCCCCCCCCCCCGTTTTTTTTTTTTAACTTCTTTCCCTTGCCACTCTCCTCTCTTCTGTGCATTAACCAGGAGTTGCGCCGAAAGCCTCATGAAGATGTCAAAAGCTACATCCAAAAGATGGCCCACACAATGTCAGAAGGTGCGGACTCCTGGCTGGGACGACTTCTTGGGTGCACCAAGCCATCGGCAGAGATGAGGAGACACATCTACACTATCGGCCTACTGCAGGCGCAGTACGCATTTTGTTCCCATAGGCTGTCGACTGACAGTGAAGTCAATGACAGCTGCTGCAGCAAAGACACTCTTGCCGCCCTTTCCATGGCCACGGCCGAACTGCAACAATCAGAGGTTAGGGTGAAGTCATTTCTCCATGTGCGGCCTCTTCATGTTCACGCATTGGAAAAGTACTGTTGTAATCAGGATTTAAAAAATGATTCTGCACAACTGTAGTCAACCTTGGAAGTATATGATGCAGTGCCAAAGCAGTGAAAGTCAACATGGAAAGTTGCAGAAAGCTTCGTCATCATCAACACATAATTGAAATAGAAAACAATAGTAATTAAAAAAATGACAGTTGCATAATGATCAAAACATATTGGGGTAGTTGGTTTGTCATCCTTTTTAAATAGCAACTTACTATTGGACAAAATAGCAAAATACCAGAATAACTGCAAGGTGCTTAGCATATGTGAACACTCATTTTTCTGTTGCATAGAATGCTAGCTTGCAAGCAATAGATCAAAGATACACATCATACTTACTCACCACTCCTTGGCATGGGAATCAGCACAGCTTTAATAGAATGCTGTGCATGCAGAACAGTTATATTGAGAAAAATTTGCCGCGGATTTCTTTTTAGAACCTTGTTTTTTCATGTCTTTTTATGTATCCATGCCGCAGGCAAGTGAAGTTGCTGACACCCTGGTTGAAGTTATGGCACGGTTAGCTCACTACAGGTCCCGGTCCCCAGAACTACTGCCAGCTCCTTTTTCAGCACTGGGAAAAGGGATCTATACGCAGCTTGCACTGAGAGCTGCCGCTGAGTCAGCAAAGGCAGCCAGTGGCACCGTTTCCTTGACCCTGGAGAACTGCATTCCAGACAAGCACTGCAAACTCACGGAGACATTCTTTCAGGCCTGCACCTTGGCGGAATTGAAAGATATTCTTGGTGAACTTGTGTCAACCCTGGTAAGTGTTTTCGCTGATTGCTTTCAGATATATGTGGTTTCTGCAGCCAGCTCGCAATCACACGGCAAGCCGCAGAATGCGTATATGTGTGCACTTTATTCTGAGACCTGCCACGATGAATGAATATTGTGCCGCTTAGCACAGCACTCGTATAGTCAGCACACATGTACCCGTTGCATTAGTCAAGTGTTAATGACTAAGCTACTTAATCCATTTTACTTAAACATAATGATGTGATTTCATGAAACAGCTACTTTTAGTCTGCAATTTATTGGGGTAAATGAACATCATTATTGCTCTTACTTACTTCAAATTTAACAGGCATATTTCGCGGATCTCAGTGATATGTATATCAATCTTGTGAACTCTGAGCAACTTCTGTGCTCACAGATGAAAGACGATGTGCAGTCAGTGCCAATGAAAGTGCATCTTCAAGTTCTCCAGCTTGTCTGCTCTTGTGTGGACAACCAGAAGCAAGATGGAACTGCAAAGGACATCATGTCTATAATTCACAAAGTGAGTGGCACCAGTAGTTGCAGCTCTTTAGACCCAAAAACCTGCACGAAATCTCTGCCACACAATCACAGAAGGGCATTGAACCGATTTCAGCTTACTGAAACAAGCAGACAGTTTTTGCCAAATAATATCAACTAAGGTGTGGTACTTGCCTGAGCATAATCCTAACTGAGCTATATATACATATTAAGATAAGTTTTGTCTGAAAACAGTTATCTGTTAAAGCTAAATATGTTGATTCTCTCTAATATCTTTTTATATCTTAAATGACTACCAAATCTTCTAAATATTGTTTGATAGTTAAATACCGTTTCAGATAAGAGTTGCTTTTCATCATCAAAGAGAATTGTTTTTTAGCCGTAATAAGTTGTCACGCTCCTCATCACGCTTTTGACAAGTGCTGTGCGTGTTAAGAGCAAGTCATACTGTTAAAAGTTATAACAACCTTTAAAAGGACGTAAAATTTTCAATGAGAATAATGTCTTAAAACCTATGACAAGCTGTAACAAATTCCACGAGCAACTCGGCAAAAATTATGTACTGAAATAGGTTCATACTATGTTGAATTTGTTTTTCTGCTCTCATACTTGATCGTTATATACAGTGCTCACAAACGGAAATGCAGCAATATATGGCTAAGTCATGTACAGCGCTCACAGATTTGAGCCTGTAAATTTAGGGCTAAGTAATGTGCACGCTTTAATTTCTCCTGTCTTCTGTTTGTGCAATATATTGCCATAATTTTAACTTGAGCATTTACGTCAGAGCAAACTTTACCTCTAGTGGCCAGATTCGTAGTCGTGTGACATCATTGAAGCAAGTAACTGCATATAATGGTCGCTATTTTAAATGTTTTGATGTTGCGTTTCAGTCTGTGAGCACTGTTGTGTAGATATTTCATTGCTTTCATTTTGAGCCCGTGTGACATTGGCTTATCGTTGGTTCACACTATTGCAACAGAGCCAACATCACTTTTAGGGGATAGATTCATAGCAACTTGACACAGTTAACCTTTATTACGCGTACTACTTGCTATCCTTAAATTTCACGAGTGTTGGACACTGTCATGATATAGATCACTTCCAAACACTTCTTTTCTCTTTTGTAGTCAGATTGCAAAGTGCAGAAACCCATAATCCCCTATATTTTAGTGATTCGTAATATAATTGCTCTTTCATTTTCACTTTTAGAACATGTCACAAAACGATTTCCTCAATTAGTGATTGATTGAAATAATGCACCAAGATGAAAGATGTACTGGAGATTCTGGATGCTACTATTCTACTATTGATGCAATTTTGATTCACTTGCACTTCGTTGCTTCTGGTAGTGTGCGCTTATGCTAGCTAATCCATGAAATGGAGAGAAGAGCTGGGGGAAAAATAAGAGTGCAGTACTTCTATTAGTTGCATAGGTAATGCTCTATTTTTCTCTCGACTTTCTTTTCAGATTATCGAGTACTTTGCTGTCATCCTTAGTCTGTATGAGCTTGCTGATCATCCTGAGCTTGTTGTATATGTTCTCAAGTTTTTTTCAACACTTATGACAATGAGAAAAGTAAGTGAAGTGTTTGTGCGTGACAATTTCTACAAAAATAACCACTCCCAATAATTAGTACTTGAATTTTAAATGTGTTCGTATTGTTGCTCAAAATAAAATTACTGAAGTTGGGAAACACAAAATGAGTATTTGTGGTGCTTGAGAGAACATTGGATATACATTTATTGCTGCTACCTTAAAAAGGCGCTTTCGGTTTTCATATTGAGGGGGTGGCTTCTCCGTCATGTGTCAGAGAAGTGCGACGTCACAAGAAGACGGCAACCGGTGACGTACTAGCAGCAAATATGTCATCTGCTCGTCGTACACGTAAACACTGACAAGTGAATTGTCCTCCAGTCACCCTGAAAGTGATTTCTGCGATTTTGGCTCTGCGTAAGATGCAGAGCTCACTAATTCAGACACTGTCTTCACTCGTGGGGATGATGTCAATTGCAGTGGGGCTGTGTTGCAGATGCTCAGTGATGAAAACTCCAAAATCAAAATAAAATATTTTATACGCATTGCCTGACTCCGGTGTGTGGAGAGCGTTGGCACTGCATACCAAGGAAAGGAAAATTGTACCTTTCACAGTGTGTTCAAATCGTCACAGTACTCTTTTAACTATACTGAACCCATTCCCTTGTTTCTACACTCTACTGTGCACATGAAAAAGTCAAAGCACTGTCTTCAATCATGAATAATTGTGTGATTTCCTGATTCTCTGCTCTTCCAACCAAGCCCTGATTTGAGAAAAAACTTAAAGTTGGGACCAGTGCTGAGACGCAAGTGACAACCCAAAAAAAAAGGGGGGGGGGGGGGAGGAGGTGTGCGTTCTGTATGCTATGCTGGTGTCCACCAGTGCTTCATTTCTTGTCAAATGTTTGAGAATTACGTATAGAAGAAAATAGCGTACCGTAAATGCTTTGATGTTCTACTGTCTCTTCACTTGCATATTCACACCCCCATTTGTGCATTATGAAGTTTATCAACAAGCGTTACATGAATTTTTGGTGGTGCTCAAGCTTTTACGTAATTTGCCTACACTGCCACATGCTATGGTACTATGGAATGATCATCTCAAAGCCATTGCAACAATCACTGGCCACAACCATTTCACAAACTGAACACATGTTTTAATACTGTGTATTAATTTCACTTCTTGTATTGTGTTGCCTACTGCTTTTAGCCTGTTTATAGCTTTTCTTTTTTTACATTTCCAGTGGTTTGTTCTTGCTCTTTATTGCTTTTACCCCCTTCACTCAATGCTTTGTCGGAAGCATTGTGATGTATTGTAAATAAAAAAATAAATACACTGACTATGTAAACTCATTGACTGCTACTCTTACACTTCACTTTTCTCTTTTCCAGGTCGTTCTCTCCCATCGAGGTGGAGTGGTGATCTTGCAGTCATTGAGCAGCCTCAACCTACTGCACCTGTGGAGCAGAAGCCAGGAACATTTCTGCCAGTCTGTCGTGGCTGCTTCCAGGCTCCTCAGCATCTTTCTCAGCAAGAGGATAGTGATGGTTGTCGGGTGCACGGTGGCCTACCAAAGCTGTGTTTCTCATATCCTTCTTGAATGCAAGAGTATATCGTTGGCTACCCTTTTTTCTTGTGGTCTATCGTGTTAACCTTAAATGACTGAATGCAAACTTGTAGCAGGGCAAGCTCATACCTATTTCCAGAACAATAAAAGCTTGTTAATTGGAGCTATTGGAACACATGCCAGCAAGCATACATGTTCCTTAGTGGTATGAAACTTTCTAATTCAGTCATATTTGGCCAAATCCAGGTTAAAATTCAAAATATTCTTATAGTGCTCCAGTGCACAAATGTGCGAAGCAAAAAAATGGCAGCAGCTTTTGCAAACAACTAAAAGGGCCGCGGGCAATTGGAAAGGCATAGTCAGGAAGTCGTAGGCATCCACGACCTCATCACAATTATGTTGTTGACAACTAAGGCTTCAGCGGCTGCAGCATACTTTGTTTCACTTTCAATTTTACGCAGCACCTGGAAACAGCGTCTGCTTAAAGTTTGCCTTGATAGCGACTGGTTTCAAGGTGGCAATAAGCAGTAGTAGTTTTGTCTCTTCCATGTGCCTTCAGAACTGTGTAGTGGCCATCCATGGATGTGCATGAGTGAGCCAGGTTTATTCAGCAGCGGCTTCAGTGCTCAGTTGTTTTGTTTCGACCCTGGATGCTGGCCTGCAGGTGCACCTTCAGAACTGCTTAATGCTATGATCGTGTCTAGCTCCCATGGCTTTCGCCACAGTGGATCTGGAACACAGTAGCTTCATTTTGGCTTTGGGCAATGTCTGTGCAGCGTCACAAGCTCAGACATAGTAGAAGCTGTTAAAGATAAAGAGTTTCAGCTGCTGTGTGCAAGTTGGCATAAAACTCGCTTGCTACATTGCGATGGACAAACAATCAGTTGCCAGTCATTTTTACGACAAAAGAAGTTTTGTCACGTTCATGTGGTGATCTTGGTAGTGGTGGTACTTATTAAAAAGGTAATGACACTAAATTTCGCGGCCGAGGTAGCCTGCGGGGTCGATTCCCATGAGCATTCAATTACCATCTGCAAAATATCAACAGCTTACTTAGCTTAGAAGGTATTTTAAATTAAGTTTGAAGTTTGCATGAGTGTTCGGCTATGCCATGCCATTGACACCTTCGAAGGGGACTTTTTGAGGACCCCCTACTTTCCTCACGTCACCACGTTGCAGTCAATAAAACAAGTTATGATGACGTCATAGCTGCCATTTTTCTTGCCACGTTTGTTCCTGCAGTCCATACTCCTCAGCAGCTTGTCGCGAGTGCGTGGTTGTGGCGCACGCTTTTGAAGTTTTGTGTTTAGCGACACTGCAGTCCCGTTTCCTATTCGAAAGTAATTCTTGATGCCGACCGTGCGGAAGTGTGTCGCAGTTCTGTGTGCTGACGTGGTCAGGAGCTGCACATGCTCGGTGGCGATAGTTCTACTCAGCGGCTTCTTGTTTTTGGAGCTCTCTCAAACCGAAACTGAAACTGGTCGATGATGAGTGGCCTGTAATTTTTTATCTGCCGTGTGCCGCAGCAAACGATGTTTTTGAGTCAGCACCTCTTTAATAAATGGTTTCATAGCATGTTTCAGCTGAAGACATAGGGGTCTTGAGCAGCAGTCACATTGTGAATTAAGTTATTAAGGATGAAACTTGCTGTTTTAGTGCTCCACATTGCAAAATAATCACCGGACTTACGCATTCGTAAAGAAAACAAAAACACATTGATGTAATAGACAGTTGATTATTGTTTTCTTGGTAATTTTGATATCTCGACATTTGATTAGTTCATGCATTTTTCTCGATACCGTGAAGTTTGACTCACCGAGCTTTTACTGTAAACATACATTTTTACATAAACAATTGAGAACATTTGGTGTAATACATAAACAGTAAAGTGAAAGAGCACTCTCGTGATCGAGATATAATAATATTGTCAAGAAGTCTTGACGCGGACTAAGGGAGCAGACTGGATGTTCTGATGAAACTGTTTATTTTGATGAACTCGTGGCCGGTAAACAGAAAGTCTGATTACAGCAAGACCCTGGCACTGATAGCAGCGAACAGAGCGTCGGCTGTCGATAAACTGACAAGCAATGACACACGTTGGCATTTATACATGTTTCCGAATATTCCATCGGTATCGCTAGCAGCCACGTAAGTTCCAAAAGAATCTAATGTTCCCGTTGTGGGCATAATTGCATCGGAAGATTTTAGAATTATCTTCTTTAGTCAATCGGCTACGTTGCATGAAGCAGCACATACACGTGTAATGGGGCGATAACAAAACTTGAGAATGAGCGTGGCAATATGGACATGCATGTCTATAATAATTATGGTGGGTTAGAAACTAGAAAGTCTCCATATGGAAATGTTGTGCATGTGGTTTCAAAAGTGATAAAGCCTAGCAGACACTGTCATGCTTTGCTAATTCGGTGTTAATGTTGGTTGACTAGTACTTGTCTCTACGTGAATGGCTTTCAGCCTAACTTTAATAATTGTCGTTAATGGGTTCTACTTGGACATTTTTCTTTCTGATCTCACTTCAGCGATTTCTGTTTTCACTTCAAAAATCCTCACATTGTAGGCATATCTTCTTTGAACATGTTATAGACTTGTTTCTGCATGTATATGTTGGTGTGCTCAGCGGTACTTGTTGCCTGCCCAGTAGCCTTGATCATAATCTACCGGTAATGGTGCACTTCCATAGCAAAATGAAACACTGTGTGGTGATGGATTAGTTTATCGTATGTCTTACGTGCATTTTGGACTCTGAACATTGAAGAGCTTGGCTGAAAATTTTCATCTCTATTGTGGATCACACATAAAGTTTTAACATGAAATTAAACGAGTAGGTTCACTAAAGAAAACATTCTGGTCTCGCGTGTAATGAGCAGGGCATCAAAGAAATGAAACACGCTAAATGTGTGTTGGTAGGAGAGTAGGGAAGGTTGCTACTAACTGCTGTACTTTGCAGCGATGAGTGCCTTTATGTGAATTTTAACTCAAACGAATTCTTTCTATATTAAACATTGTAGTCTTTACAATATTCCTTTGCAAAATATGTCCTGTCTCTACTGTCACTTTCTTCATCTACCTATGCAATTTGTATGCTAGCCTTTATCACTGCAACAGAGAAAAAGAAATTGGTGTAGCTTGACTGTCATGTAGTAAGCATCTTTTTGCTTTTGCCTTGACTGTTTTAATTATGTTCACATCTTCTCAAGAGCATCATCAAAGTCGGTGGATCTGAGCAATTAAAAGGTGATTCGGTTATGGCCTATCAGGTGCACATGTGTGCACTTTCCTTGGAAAGGTGAGTACAGAGTCAGATATGGAATTGTTCTAGGTTTGGCTTCACTGATGCTGAGTTCATAATAAATCTGCAGTGAAGTGTATCACACATCGCTTAGCTGTTTCTTGTAGAATATTTGCAATGTGCAACTTTCATGCAATTGTTGACAAAGGTTGCACTTAAGCTCTTAATCTCTGCTGTAGTAGAGCTAATATTCTGAGTACCCTACAAACATTGCAGCGTAGTTTGCTAACATAGTATTTTGTTATGAGATATAGCGATTTGTTTTATGCCTACATGCATTGTGCATTTACATCATAGAACAAGATGAAAATGTGGACACAAGCAATTTTTCAATTGTTACAGAGTTAATTTGGCCATTTGAGTCAAAACTAGTGTTTCAGAATCGCACTAGTGCAACGTGACATTAAATGTCACATGACATGTTAAGCAGTCCCTGATTGATCTAATCAGTCAAATTCCCTGGCTGCATTCTTTTTACCTGGCATTCAAAGGTCAGTCAAAAGCCACAAGAAGAACCCGTAAGATCAAAACCACGAATACACAGAGGCTATACTGAGCTATGCTGAAAAAACTTAAAATTTCTGGAGTTGCCAGTGAGTGCCTCCTTTTCTTAATAGTATAGTGGCAGACATATTGGAAAGAAAAAAAAGCAACTCGACAATTGCGTGTCACGTAAAATATAAATACTTGTAAACAAATTCACTATAATGCAAGCTGCCTAGTGCCAGAGCATTCAGCTGGCAGCCATGTTCAATTCTGTGCGTAATGAGACCCTCACAAGCTTTTAAAAAAAGTTTCATTTGTGTTTGAAATAATAATGTTTAATGCAGTGTAATGTTTCTGCAGTTTCCATTGTATTTAACGGCAAATAAGTGCAGTGGTTGTGGGCCTAGAATATTTCAACCAACCTTGGAGCTTTGTTGGCGAATACAAAACAGAAATGCAATGGAATAACCTTATGCTATCTCCTACAATGTGATGTCACTGTTGCAGGGGCCCTTCTCGAGGGTTCCAAATCACCTCCAACATTTACCTTTCTTGTAAAATTGTTAATACTGTACAGAATCGGAAAGCACGTTTTCAAGGAACAGTTCATGTGGACCTTTTGTTGAGACAGTGCTTTCAGTACTAAAATCCTATCTTCTACAGTAAAAACTCCCGATTCAGATTTCATGGGACTGGAAAAAAAAATGTCTGAAATTACCAAATTCTGAATCATTGGGAGTATCAAGATAACAATAAACAAATGTCTCTGACATCTGTCTGACATCTGACATCTGTCTCTGACACTCTGGTTACACTCTACGATACTCTGAATACATTGATTTTTATGACAAGTAGGTAAATTCTGTACTTATTTTGTATAATAGCAGCATAAAAGGTACAATTTTTGTCATCTTGACATTTCATTCTCAATGTGACATCACTAAGCTTCCACATTAATTTGCCTGAAATGCACTCTGCACCACTGTTTTTTTACATATCGCAACCACCGCCATTCACACGTGACAGTGGTTCTTCCACAACTAAAATGACCGACAAATGATAGTTCGTCCAACACAGTGTAGCAAACACTTCATATCGACCATGGCTGAAAGCTCTTCATCTTCAACAGCTTCCGCTATGTTCAAAGCTTTGTGACATTGCGAGTGCATTTCATCATGTTGCAACGAAGCTCTTAAGGACTGAGTACTGATGCCATGGTCATTAACAAAGCTATAGTCTAACTGATGAAAATAGTAATGTGAACATTGCCATCTGGTTTCAGTTGTCTGTAAACATTATTTTTGCTTTCTTGCATCTCACATTTGTGTCTCACTCTGAGATTGTCTGAATTAACTGAGTTGTGGCCAAGTGTGACTGAATTAGTGAGAGTTTTATGCCACTAATTAATATATAGCTTGGTCAGGAATGGGGATCATGTCTGAATTAACAAGGATTGATTTAGTGAGCTTTTACTGTATCAGATAACTAAATGCTCAATTATTGGCAGCATTGAGAATTAATAGGGTTTAAAAGCTAGCATTACCATGGAATGACATGACCGAAATTGAGAAAAACTAACAGAAAATTACTCATTGTCTATTAGTTCTCATTACTGTTGCATCTAACAAAGAAAAGGAGTTGTTGAATTTCCACTTCTTTTTTGTAATCAGAATTGAGAATTAGGCTACCATTAATATAGAGTGCCATGACCAGAACTGACGAGAACACAAAATGCATGATTGTCTGTCAGCTCTCAATAACATTGTCTATAACTAACTAAACTAGCCCTTAAGTCTACACTTCTTTCTTATGATTGCAATTGAGAATTATAGGTCTTTGTGTTATTTTGGAGATTGTGGCAATCTGGGATACATTTGGTCAGTAGTGTGATGGGGTCGTGACGTGGACCAAGGGAGCACACTGTAGTTACATTCCATGTATGCCACGCAACATAAACCATATTATGTCACTACTGGTGTTACATTATACACGCATTCCTGTTCATAATATTTCTTGCACTGCGTTCCAGATTGGTCGGTGAGATTGCCTCACACAAGAAAGAGTTTTCTAAGACAGGTGGATTTCTCATAGCAGACTACATTCTGGAGTCAATCAACACTGTTTTGCACCCTCCAATCAAGGTTAGTCTCATTTGCAAAGTGAGATAGTTTGAAAATATTACATAGGTAGTTTAACCCCCTTTTTTGGGGAGCAAATCTTGTCTTTTATGAGGTGTCTTTGATAAGCAGGGTATCACATATTTGTTTTTTTCTTATCAAACCCTATTTCAATGCAGAGTAAGAGTACTTTATTTACAGTAAGCTCACTGCAGGGGCAAGGGCTAAAGGCACCCAGACATCTCATATTCATTTGTCTGTCACATCAGTGTCTCTTACTAAAGGGCTCAACTGTACATGCATGCATTCTTGACTGTAATTAGCACACCGTAATCACCCGTCATGTTGTTCTAGTGGTTACGGTGGTTGACCGCTGACCCTAAAGTTGCGGAACGAAATCCCAAATGAAGGCTGAATTTCGATAGAGGCAAAATACTGGAGGCCTATGTGCCCATCTTTAAGTGCACTATATAGAACAACTGAGAGTGAAAATTTGTAGAGCCCTTTACTATGGCGTCCCTCATCATCATATTGTGGTATTGGGATGTAAAATTCCAACAGTTCGGGTTTAATGGAGAGCAAACATTTTTATTTTTTTTAAATATTTGGATCAAACTTTCAGGGCATGTTCATTACACTGATACTAGTAGAATGGTTAAGTTTCATGAAATCATGTTTTTTAGTTGCCAGAGTTATTGAGGTTTAACTGGGTTGTTCCCGGGGGTGCCAAAGGAAGAGTCTTTATAAATCCCAAGATGTAGTAGAAAGCTTAAATTCATTTTTGTCATCCTTTGATAAATATCCCAGGGTGCTACAAAGCTTTTTCTTTCCTTTTAATTTCCCCTCCAAAAACTTTTTATACAACTTCGGATTTGTATGTAGCGAGCAATGACCAGAGTAATCCAAATTTGTTTATTGTAAATTAATGGTACCAGTTCTCAAAAAAAAAAAATATCACACCATCTTTTATGAACAGAATAAAAAAAGCCGCACAAGTTTGACAAGCAGTCTTTGAGTTTTTGCTTCCCACAGCACCACAACTAGCGAAAAAACTTATTCTAAGAAAACAGGCAATGAAAGTTGAATGCATGCATTTTCTTTATAAAGCTCCAGTAGAGTAGGTAGAAGTGTTCTTGTGCACTCTTTTCTGTTTTTGCCTGGCCTCTATCTTCTCTTGGTGTCGTTTGGAATTTATTTTTATGCATAAAGCATCAAAGTGCTTGGTCCAGTAAACTCACAAACACTCGGCGTCACGCTCATTGGCACAGATTCGGAGCATGTGCCACGTACAGCGATCTCTGAAACACTTAGCACATTCGCAGGTTCAGCCACACTCGATGCATCAGACTTTGGGCTCGGGACAGATGAAAGCACATTTCTGCTGCTGCAAGTGTCTACGCAGTCGGTACTCACTGCAGAATAGCTGAATTTCAATGCCCAGACAAGCCACATTATGCACAACAACAAAGACAAAAAGGGTACAAAACTAGTGCAAAAAAAAAGTGTAGAAAATGATCAGAAAAATAGTGCTAGGCAAAGGACGATTCGTAAACAGACATCTGTCGAGACAAACGGAGCAGAGAGCAACGGCAAGGCGATTGGTCCAGACATGCCATCGAAAGAAGCAACTGCTCCCGCTGGCGCTTTTTTCCGCGAGATATGAATGCCCTGCTCAAAAAATTCACAGTCAAAACAATACTAAAAGGGTGCAGGACGGCTGCATGGTCCGGAAATGGCACGTGCACGAAATTCATTTTATTTAGGCACTTGTACCAGTTTTTTGACGGCGCTATGACCTCTGAAATAGCTGCCTGCTCCTTCTTGCCCCCCCCCCCCCACCCCACTCCTTCCCACTCGCTCCGCAGTTGAATTAGGGGCTGATAACTACAGGATAGGTAGTTTATAGGACATGCAACCTAAAACGGTGCTTTTTCAGAAATGGACCTTTTTGCAATTTTTCGATTGTCAAGGGCCATGTTCGCCCTTAAACTTTCAACACGTCAACCCTTATATGAAGGAAAGGCATATGTAGAGCTAGTTCCATGAACTGAAAAAAATTTTTTTGTGTGAAATTGCACTTGTGCATCTCGAAGTGTTTGTATTCTGTTTAAGTGGGCTTTTCAAAATTTTTATTGAACTGCGAGTGTCATAATGGCATAAGTTTGGTTCATCTAAGCCAGCATTACCTTTAGCAGCGAGAATCATAGCTACATGATGGAGATATTGCAGGCAATTGGTCATACCAGCCGTTAAATAAAAAAATTGTTGTCAGGTTTCTGTCCATGAGGGCTGTACAGTATTAAACAGTAGTTTTTTTTTTTTTTGCAAGACAGGTTCTCATTATTACTTCTAACATGTTGTATTCATCCACACTGATGATGCCTTGTCAAGTGAGGTACTGATAATTAGCACCAGTTTTTAGTTTGAATTGCTGTCCTATGTAGGAAAGGCAGCGGCATGACAGAGTAAAGGCACAGAAATGCTTCTTTTTTTTTAAGGTGTGCATGTGCTAGCATAAAGCTTTTTACAGAAATATGCCACACAACTTTGATTGAACACATTTTCAGATTGCCTACAATAAATACCTCACCACCGCCGATCATTGTTGGGAAGTCATTTATGCCTCTGACAGAGAGGGAAAAGTTTGTGAAAGGGAAATGTTTTCATTCGTCCATTTGTAACATCAAGCTTTTAGAAAACCCAGACAAATTTCTCAGCAAGGCAGTTTCCCAGTTGAAGGATTTCGTACCCCGTTAAGACCCAGGATCGAATCTTGGATTAGGATTAGTTCTTTGTCAACTTGGAAACTTTCTTTCTGTCTGAGAAGTCTATGTGATGTTTAATTTAGTTTCGTACTACAAATGGATAAATTAAAATTTTACCCTTGAAACAAGCCATGTTAGCAGGGTGTCTAGGTTCCCAGGAAAGAACAACTGATAGTAGTCACATGACAAATGATGACTGAAAATTCTGTTGTTCAAAGATATGCCTCACAGATGTTTTGTATGTCTACTAAAGTTTGGATTACAACACTGAATGACTAAACGGAGCCTCCTGATTTACTTTATTGGTTTCGTCACCTACATTAATTTGTGACATCATTAGAACATAAGTGCTCTTTACCATAGTGGAACTTATGATGCATTGTCATTGTTTCATTTTTACAGAAGACACTGCAGTTTTTGGTCTACAAGTTGTTTGAGCTTGCGGATGAGCACAGAAGAGCCATGGTGCATGCAACCCTGCCTAAGGAAGGAACAGGAGGTGTTCAAGACCCTATATGCTGACTCTAAGAGGCTACGCTTTAAGGGAAAAGTTTAGGGTCTTAGTAGTGAATGTTAAATGTTTTAATTGTTATTCTAGCTGTGACGTTTTTTCTACTCCGCCAGTATAAACATGTCAGTATCAGGAACACTGCACGAATATGGGGATAGGGAGGCATATAGACTGCTTCTGGGAGAATCAGGGCATCAGGAGCGCAGGAAAAAAGTGATAGTGCATATGTGACCACAGTGGTAAAGCAGCAGTTCTGTTAACTGACTTCAGCTCATGTGCATAATGTATCTCTGCATCATACGTTCTCCCGAAGAACTCCCTTTCTGAAATTTGTTCTAAATTTGTCGACTGCATGATCTGTGTCAATAAAAAAGAAATATATGTATTTATGTATTGGACAAAAGACATAGTTGTGGTATTATGCAAATATAACACCGTATACCAATATTTTAGTTCTGTTTGCAGTTTCCTTCAGTTTTGATGGCTCATAATGTAGAGAAAATGCGGCGCTGAAAAGCGAAGCCACATGGTTATATCAGGTTTAGTATTTTTTTTTTTTGCACCACATCATCTCATACAGCAAAGTTGGTAAGGAGAGTGCAGTGCCCATAAAAAATGGCAGCGGGAACAGTTAAAAGTTCAACACAGCCACCCCCCGCTCCTAGTCTCTCTTGGAAGGAAATCCTGGCTCTACCCCTGGAAGTTGGGCCAGCATGCAGTCAAGCATTTCTGTGAAAAGCAACAGGCATTTACTGTGTTTCCCCGCTTGCAGTGTCATTTTATGAAGTCATGCTTCACAATTACAATAGCATCATCCTCGCAGCTAGAAGAGAAATAATGAGACAGAACATGCACATTTTCTGTTCTCTATATTTTTTCGTACAACCTTTGCAAATCTTGTTGCAGTGTTTCATGGCATTCTAATAAAGCTTTTTTTTTTTTTTGGTGCATTTCTGACAAAACTGGTAAGCACTTAAACATCTTTGTTGCTGTTGCCTTTTTTTTTAAATCCATCACATTTCAATAAAACCTATTTTGAGTGCATTTGTGAACAAAATGATCTTGCATTTTTATTTTTTTTTAATTTTCGTCCCAGCTAAGTAAAATAGACTTGGGGTGCTTTTCTAATAAAGAAGCCTTTGGAAAGCCTTTAGAAACTTTCATTCTTTTATTTTTGAAAGTTTTGTCTCATTTTAGTACAATGGATTTTGGGTGTATTTTTTACCAAAAAAGGTAAGCTTATTTATAGCCTTTGGAAATCTTCTATTTTTCATTTTTGAAAGTTTCGTCACATTTTAATAAAATTAATTTTCTGTGCATTGGTGACATATATGGAAATCCTTTGGAAACCTTGTATTTTTTTTATTTTTGAAAGTTTCATTGTATTTCAATAAAACATTTTGCTTGCGTTCCTGGCCAATGCAGTGAGGCCTTTGGAAACCTTGTTATTCTTAATTTAAAAAGTTTAACCCCATTTTGGTAAAACTTGTTCCGAGTCAGTTTCTGAGAAAAACTTTAGGCTTTTAGACCTTTTACAGAGCGCTTCCTGGGCTCGCCATAGTCTTTTCTGGGCTGTTGCTAACCTGTGTGACCCCCAAAAACGCACTGCCAGAGCTGTGACGTCCGCTTTTACGCTTCCGCGCAACAGCCCTGAAGGGAGGGAATCCATTAAAAAAGTCTGTACACTTCCGAAAATAGAGCAGTGAAAGATGAATCCACATCAGTTTTATTAACATGCAACAAAACTTAAATTTGAGAAGTACATTTCCGAAAAAGAGGGACGCCGTTTTTGTCAGCTATGTAACAAAATTAAATTTTAATAGCGAAGCTCAAAAATCTACTCCAAAAGCTTTTGTTAGAAATCCAAGACACCCGGTGAGCCTAGTGGGCGTATTTTCCGAGCTAAGGTTCCCCGGTAAGTTTGCTTCACCGCAGTAAAAGTCTAAAGCAGCCGAAAAAGTTTGGGCTCTTATCACCCATGATGAAGGCTCAACTTTTTTCTGACGTCACACGTCGACACGGTGAGCCTAGTTGCCATATTTGCCGAGCCAAGGTTCCTCGGTAAGTTTGCTTCACAGCAGTAAACGTCTAAAAGCAGTCGAAAAACTTTGGGCTCTTATCACCCATGATAAGGCTCAACTTTTTTCTGACGTCACACCTCGACACGGTGAGCCTAGTTGCCATATTTGCCGAGCTAAGGTTTCCCGGTAAGTTTGCTTCACCGCAGTAAACGTCTAAAAGCGGTCGAAAAAGTTTGGGCTCTTATCACCCATGATAAGGCTCAAGTTTTTCTGACGTGAAAACTCAACAGCGGTGATCCTAGTTGCCATATTTGCCGAGCTAAGGTTTCCCGGTAAGTTTGCTTCACCGCAGTAAACGTTTAAAAGCAGTCGAAAAAGTTTGGGCTCTTATCACCCATGATAAGGCTCAACTTTTTTCTGACGTCACACCTCGACACGGTGAGCCTAGTTGCCATATTTCCTGAGCTAAGGTTTCCCGGTAAGTTTGCTTCACCGCAGTAAACGTCTAAAAGCGGTCGAAAAAGTTTGGCCTCTTATCACCCATGATAAGGCTCAAGTTTTTCTGACGTCACACCTGGGCATGGTGAGCCTAGTTGCCATATTTGCCGAGCTAAGGTTCCCCGGTAAGTTTGCTTCACCGCAGTAAACGTTTAAAAGCAGTCGAAAAAGTTTGGGCTCTTATCACCCATGATAAGGCTCAAGTTTTTTCTGACGTCACACCTCGACACGGTGAGCCTAGTTGCCATATTTTCTGAGCTAAGGTTTCCCGGTAAGTTTGCTTCACCGCAGTAAACGTCTAAAAGCGGTCGAAAAAGTTTGGCCTCTTATCACCCATGATAAGGCTCAAGTTTTTCTGACGTCACACCTGGGCATGGTGAGCCTAGTTGCCATATTTGCCGAGCTAAGGTTTCCCGGTAAGTTTGCTTCACCGCAGTAAACGTCTAAAAGCAGTCGAAAAAGTTTGGGCTCTTATCACCCATGATAAGGCTCAAGTTTTTCTGACGTGAAAACTCAACACGGTGATCCTAGTTGCCATATTTGCCGAGCTAAGGTTTCCCGGTAAGTTTGCTTCACCGCAGTAAACGTTTAAAAGCAGTCGAAAAAGTTTGGGCTCTTATCACCCATGATAAGGCTCAACTTTTTTCTGACGTCACACCTCGACACGGTCAGCCTAGTGGCCATATTTTCTGAGCTAAGGTTTCCCGGTAAGTTTGCTTCACCGCAGTAAACGTCTAAAAGCGGTCGAAAAAGTTTGGCCTCTTATCACCCATGATAAGGCTCAAGTTTTTCTGACGTGAAAACTCAACACGGTGATCCTAGTTGCCATATTTGCCGAGCTAAGGTTTCCCGGTAAGTTTGCTTCACCGCAGTAAACGTTTAAAAGCAGTCGAAAAAGTTTGGGCTCTTATCACCCATGATAAGGCTCAACTTTTTTCTGACGTCACACCTCGACACGGTCAGCCTAGTTGCCATATTTGCCGAGCTAAGGTTTCCCGGTAAGTTTGCTTCACCGCAGTAAACGTCTAAAAGCGGTCGAAAAAGTTTGGGCTCTTATCACCCATGATAAGGCTCAAGTTTTTCTGACGTGAAAACTCAACACGGTGATCCTAGTTGCCATATTTGCCGAGCTAAGGTTTCCCGGTAAGTTTGCTTCACCGCAGTAAACGTTTAAAAGCAGTCCGAAAAAAGTTTGGGCTCTTATCACCCTGATAAGGCTCAACTTTTTCTGACGTCACACCTCGACACGGTGAGCCTAGTTGCCATATTTTCTGAGCTAAGGTTTCCCGGTAAGTTTGCTTCACCGCAGTAAACGTCTAAAAGCGGTCGAAAAAGTTGGGCCTCTTATCACCCATGGTAAGGCTCAAGTTTTTCTGACGTCACACCTGGGCATGGTGAGCCTAGTTGCCATATTCGAAGGGTTCCCTGGTAAGCTTGCTTCACCGCAGTAAACGTTTAAAAGCAGTCGAAAAAGTTTAGGCTCTTATCATCCACGATAAGGCTCAACTTTTGTCTGACGTCACACAGTGATACGGTGACCCTAGTGAGCCCATTTTCCGTGCGAAGGTTCTCCGATAGGTTGGCTTCGCCGCAGTGAACGTCTGAAAACAGTCGAAAAAGTTTGGGCTCTTATCACCCATGATAAGGTGCAACTTTTGTCTGACGTCACACCTTGACACGATCGGCTTAGTAGGCGTATTTTGCCGTCCCACATGTGTTAAAAACGGCCAAAAATATTCTCCCCTGGTCTGTGTTGTTGGGAAGCCAGCTTCCTGTCGGAAGTAATTGATTGATTGATTTATATGCGGCATTTAACGTCCCAAAACCACCATATGATTATGAGCAACACCTTAGTGGAGGGCTCCGCAAATTTCGACCACCTTTAATTTGAACCTACTTTAACATGCACCCAAATCTGAGCACACGGGCCTACAGCATTTTCGCCTCCTCCGAAAATGCAGCCACGCAGCCGGGATTCGATCCCGCGACGTGCGGTCAGCATCGGAGTAGCCTAGTCCTGTTGAAACTAGTAGACGGGATCAGTCATGGTTGCTGGGAACGTTCCCGCCACTTTTTACAGAGAAATCTGTTATGAGATGACAACACAGGTCACGTGTAGCGCCGTAGTTGTCCGTCAACACCACCGGTGTCCGTACCACTATTGCACGAAATAACAAAAAAACACTACAGATATATGTAACATAGTGGGATTCGAACCATGGTCCACTGCGTGCTAACACAGTATTCTACCGCTGAGCCACTGCGCTGCTTGGGCCTTGTTTGCAAATTTGCCTTAGGAAGGCTTGATGTTGGGAAAGGAATCGCGCTATTATCAGCATTAAAGCATTTTAGAACAGCAAAGGAACAACCAGGCGTCACACAATGTGAAACGCGTAATGAGTTGGTTGTCCAATGTTCCAACACGTAGAAAAACTTGTTCTTCATCATCTATTAACTGTGGCACATAACTACTTCAGGCGTAATTCTGCTTTGTCGTCGGCCAATTATTGCAACACAAAATTCATTCAAAATTCGTGCAACAGTTTAGCAGGGACCACGCTTCTACGAAGAATGATGAAGCATAACATAATGAATGCCAGCCTACTACGCAAACATTGTGTTTATTCACGGCGTAGTGGGAACCCAGCAAGTGTGTTTCTAGCATTTACCCAAAGTGTTCAGAAAAGGCTCTGAAAGGCCATTCTTCATGCTTTTGCTGCGACTGAGATGCCCGTTCCGCACAGGCCTGGCGATTTTTTTTTTTTTTTTCGCGCAGTGTTGAAGCTTGAGCTTGGTCAGTAGGTTTTCACAATGTTCCGCCGGGCGATGACGTCACCACGCGTTTCCTAGCAACGCCTTAATTGGAGGAAGGAAAAGAGAGAAATGCGGAGGTGATGGTGTAGAAAGAAGCCAAAGTTCTTGGAAACGTTGCAGTCGAAAAAGTTTGGGCTCTTATCACCCATGATAAGGCTCAAGTTTTTCTGACGTGAAAACTCAACACGGTGATCCTAGTTGCCATATTTGCCGAGCTAAGGTTCCTCGGCAAGTTTGCTTCACCGCAGTAAACGTCTAAAAGCAGTCGAAAAAGTTTGGGCTCTTATCACACATGATAAGCCTCAACTTTTGTCTGACGTCACACCTCGACACGGTCAGCCTAGTGGCCATATTTTCCTGAGCTAAGGTTCCCTGGTAAGCTTGCTTCACCGCAGTAAACGTTTAAAAGCAGTCGAAAAAGTTTGGGCTCTTATCATCCACGATAAGGCTCAACTTTTGTCTGACGTCACACAGTGATACGGTGACCCTAGTGAGCCCATTTTCCGAGCGAAGGTTCTCCGATAGGTTGGCTTCGCCGCAGTGAACGTCTGAAAACAGTCGAAAAAGTTTGGGCTCTTATCACCCATGATAAGGTGCAACTTTTGTCTGACGTCACACCTTGACACGATCGGCTTAGTAGGCGTATTTTGCCGTCCCACATGTGTTAAAAACGGCCAAAAATATTATCCCCTGGTCTGTGTTGTTGGGAAGCCAGCTTCCTGTCGGAAGTAATTGATTGATTGATTTATATGCGGCATTTAACGTCCCAAAACCACCATATGATTATGAGCAACACCTTAGTGGAGGGCTCCGCG